ATCTATTTTGACACACGAGTACAAATAGGCATAATGATATCGATCACAACAAAACCAATTGTAAATCAACCAGATCGCAGATATAGACGTCTTAAGCTAATATTTTCTGATTTCTTGACCGACCTTGACCCATAATCCGTATATTTCTTTATTCGCTTTCAACAAGTGCTGCTCACAACAAACCTATCTCGTTACGCTCCCAATCAGATTTACTGCTTGTCCCGAGGACCAAGTTAAACACCTGGCTACCTTGGCGGTTGGTCAGTTATGGCGTTCTCAGTCCTTGTGGCAGACATTCCGCCAAGATGGCGGTCATTTGGCGTTAGCGTGGAGTGACCCGGCGCCCACGTAGGGTCGTAATGTCTAGGGTCGGGACGAAGGCTATTCATGGTCGAGACTTAGGAGTCTTATCGCCTCTAGGAGACGCTTCACCGCCAGACTGGTCCGCTTTGACATTTGAGTGTATTACTACGCCTAGGCTGAGAACACAATCGTGTAGATAACACTGCGAGTTTTGTTGTTTTGCCTGAATGAAAAAGACCACAGTTGTTGAGGTTTAAAACCGCAGGGAAACCAAATATGGGTGTCACGCTATTTCTTGATTTAAATAATGAATAAAAGCTCCCTCACCACATTAACAAGTTGTCTAGTATACATGTATATGCAGGAAATAGTGACCATATCACCACCTTCATGAAACTATTACTGCATGTGTCTCCTCGTATTTACCTAGCAACATGTGTAGCATACTGAATAGGGGTGGGGGTGGGGTGACTGACTGTGTGGTTTAGGTGGTCCAGGATCTATGGGGTGTTCAATGAAGTTGTGGCTTATAATTACAATTTTGAACGACATTCCTCAAACATTAACGAACGACAATTACCTAAAACTTCCTTACAACTTGCCGAAAATGGTAATTCTGTAACATCATTAGCATATTTTTTTACACAAGGGAATTAACAGATTTTCTTCCTCGTTCGGGTGATGGAAATAATGCAAAGCCGAGAATATTGGCAAAAATCTCCCCAAGACACTGGACATGCTGAACGAACGATATGTTGACGTGAGTCAGAATGTGTTAGCTGGTCCTTTCCACGATTTGTTTCAGTGTGTGAATATGGTTTATGCTGCCTTGGGGAATAATCCAGCAATATCACACCGGGTCACCAGAAATGAGTCAGACACTTTGTGCCCTTGTGGGAAATCGAACCCGGGGCTTCGGCGTGACAAGCGAATGCTTTAACCACTAAGCTACTCCACTGTTCCTTTCAATGGTTTGAAGCGTTGACAGAAAAGTGTTCACAAGTGTCCCGAACATACATCTCCCCGATTTACACTGAATACAAAGATGTGTAGAGCAGGTATCCGGTACCGAAACGGTGAGTGTTGATATGCGGCATTAAAGGGCTACGACTGTGGTAGAGATGGTACAGTTACGATATAGTTAAGATGGCTCTGTGTAAGAGTATCGCTGTCTAGTCCTGTGCGGGTAACCTGCCATCAGATCTGATGACCTTCCTATCACCAGAGTGAGTGAGTGAGTTGGGTATTAGCAATACAATGTATTCAAGCAATATCACGGCGCCGGACACCAGAAATGGCGTTCACACTCATTGTACCCATGTGAGGAATCGAACCCGGGTCTTCGGCGTGACGAGCCAACGCTTTAACCACTAGACTACCCCACCGCCCTTCCTATCACCAGAGGTGTCACAATATTTCCGTTGTATAACGACATACCATCCCCATGCCGACACCATGCCGTCACCATGCCGTCCGAATATCACCACCATGCCATCACCATGCCGGAAGGTCAGGTTTGATGTTTGATGAAACATCCGTGAAGATCCGGTTTAGAATTGTTTTTCAGGATATCGTCGTAAGAGGGAACTATGCTTATGGTAAGACTGACTGACTGACTGAGTATGGTTTTACGCCGCTTTTAGCAATATTCCAGCAATATCACGGCGGGAGACACCAGAAATGGGCTTCACTCATTGTACCCATGTGGGGATTCGAACCCGGGTCTTCGGCGTGACGAGCCAACGCTTTAACCACTAGACTACCCCACCGCCCCGCTTATGGTAAGAAGCTGAAATGGGTGGTAAGGCTCTCTGACTCGGTCCATGCATGTCATCGTGTCCTAATTACGTAGATTGATGCTCATTAAGCTAATCACTTGATTGTCTGGTCCAGACTCGATTATTTAGAGACCGCCGACATATAGCTAGGATAATGCCGAGTGCGGCGTTAAATAACAAACAATTAAGACATACGCCTTCACCCAGACCCAAGAGCTGAGGTCTCTGGCAACACAACAGAAATACTTTGTGGTTTTGGCAAGGGAGCCTCTCTTTACTGACTTGATGATCCGGATGAGGACAAGACGTATAAAGTGATGGAGAGAATTAAGAGAAACAATTGTTATATGCAATCCCGTATGCATCCCACAGATACCAAGCCAGACCAGGTCGCTGTACCTCCGGCTCCCACCGTGTGTATTCCGGGTCAATAGAAGTCAAACAACCCATGCTTGTCGTAAGCTATGTGGATCGGGTGGTCAGGCCCGGTGACGTGGTTGAATCGGCGCCATCGTTCCGCGACGTGGGTCGTTAATTATTACATCAAACACAGGATTGTCTGGTCCAGTCTGGAATATTTAAGAAACCTGCCAACTAACGCCGTATAGTGCGGCGTTTAACTAATCAACAATTCAATAAACTTTTTGTTTGGTTAAATAATTAAATGTAGTTAATTGTTACATAAAAATCAATTTATGACAATAGGTTAGGGTGAAATGGGGTTTAACGTCGTACTTAAGAATATTTCGCTCACATGTGTGGCTGCTTGTACTAGCCCAGACTTAAGCTGGTTTTATAGTGCTAGCTCACTGAGATACCGTGTCGCAGTTAAGCATGAATACCCCACTCAGACACATTATACTGACTCCGAGCCGACCAGTCCTTGTAGCCATTAATGCCGAGCGCCAGACAGGGGCCAACAAGTACCATATTTTAAAGCCTTTTGGTATCACGCGGTCGGGGATCGAACCCGCGACCTTCCGCTCTCTGGGCGGACGCTCTAACCACTACACCACAGAGGCTGTTTCGTGACAATAACATGATGATGAAAACAGAGGGAAGCTGGACTAACACTTAGTCACTGTACGTGAAACATGCAGCTACATAAAATTGAAAAGGAACCGTAATGAGTTGGTAGATTTAGCCTAAACGTGGGGAAATATGGGTCGAGCTTAATTAGGGCTATATCATTACAGTAAGGGCTGGACGAAAGGTACACTCACGCTTAGTTTTCGAATATATTTAATTCTGATAGTAACAAATAAACCCATTTAAACTGAAACGAACCCCAGCGAGATGGAAACCTGAGGAAATCTAGACTTGCTTCATTTAGGGCTTTAGCAATCGCAGGGAGTGCTAGTCAGTACCGAAATTAATGTGGTTCGGGGACTGTGAGACAGACTAGACGAAAGGGAACAAAATGTGGGACAGAAAGACGAAGGGACATCCTCATCCCTCCTCATCATCCATCCCATCCCATCATCCTCATCCAATATCCCTCATCCTTCATCCCATATCATCCTCATCCCTTCATCCCATATCATCCTCATCCCTTCATCCATATCATCCTCATCCCTTCATCCCATATCATCCTCATCCTTCATCCATATCATCCTCATCCTTCATCCATATCATCCTCATCCCTTCATCCCATATCATCCTCATCCCTTCATCCATATCATCCTCATCCCTTCATCCCATATCATCCTCATCCCTTCATCCCATATCATCCTCATCCCTCCTCATCCCTTCATCCCTTCATATCATCCTCATCCCTTCATCCCATATCATCCTCATCCCTTCATCCATATCATCCTCATCCTTCATCCCATATCATCATCATCCCTTCATCCATATCATCCTCATCCCTTCATCCATATCATCCTCATCCTTCATCCCATATCATCCTCATCCTTCATCATCCCATCCCATATCATCCTCATCCCATCCATATCATCCCTCCCTCATCCCATATCATCCTCATCCATCCCATATCATCCTCATCCCTTCATCCATATCATCCTCATCCTTCATCCCATATCATCATTATCCCTTCATCCATATCATCCTCATCCCTTCATCCCATATCATCCTCATCCCTTCATCCCATATCATCCTCATCCCTTCATCCCATATCATCCTCATCCCTTCATCCATATCATCCTCATCCCTTCATCCCATATCATCCTCATCCTTCATCCCATATCATCATTATCCCTTCATCCATATCATCCTCATCCCTTCATCCATATCATCCTCATCCTTCATCCCATATCATCCTCATCCCTTCATTTATATCCCGAAAATTCAACATGAAAACCGTTTACAGGGAACGGAGGTACGGTAGTATGTCTCAGTTTGAACCGCATTGTTTTCGGTTCCGCCCCGCCCCGCCATTTCTGCAATCTAAAAGCCCTAAATGAAGCAAGTCTAAACTTTCTCAGGTTCTGAATCTCCCAACGGGGCTCCTTTCAAATTTAAAAGAAATTATTTGTATCAATCACAATTTATATATATTCAGAGACTAAGCGTTAGTCAAAGAGGCAAGGCTACGACAACTTTATTGAACCCAAATGACGCATTCACTAGTCAGATCCTCGCGGTTAAAAACATTACGATACAACATATACGGCATGATCATAATCCCTTGCAGCACCTACCATCCTGTATCATAGGGAAACCAGTACCTATCACTACTTGAAGGTACTACAACCAAGGTAGACTAATGGCGAAGTCATGACGTAACGTCGGAACGCCGAATCCATCTACTCATCACTTCAAGTGGGGACTGGCGCTGACGGAACGATCCAAGATCCTGGAGGCGTGATCGCGTGTAATCATATCAGTCTACAGCTTAATTAAATATGTAATTAATAACATTTTCCTCGACGCCAGTGCTGAGCCCGAGCTATGTACAGCATGACAGAGGCTTGCTCCAGCCGTACGGCAGAGGAGCAGAGGATAGGTCTGTTAGCCAACAATCCTTTCATTATTCACGCATAGGATTTCCACATTCCTTCATTTTACCTTAATTCATTTAACATTATTAAACGATATGGTTAAAAAAGTAAACACTTAAAATTGTAATTGACCAAGAATTTATAAACGTTATCTAAACACTTTCAGACTGACTACAGACACCACAAACATACGAAACACAACCAGAACTCTCGTATCAAATACATCACCATGGAATAACCATTTGCTGCTTGTTTCAGTTTAGCTGCCATTATTGGTGTATACTTTCTTTTGTCCCTCAGTTTATGACGATGTTCATTTTGTGGGTTTTCATTCACAGGTCAGGAACCGCTTTAGGTTGATATTTTTCACATTTGTACGCTTTGACTGGATATTTAACGTCATATATCGCTGTATATAATTACCAGCCAGTTACACTTACAGGCAAAAGTATACCGTGTTTTGTTTGTGTATTTTTTAGGAAATTGAAAATTGAAATAACTGTTGTTAAATTTCATTAAATCTATCATCCGTTCCTACAACAGTCTGTAAAAAGTAATCTATGGCGACTAACGGGATCGGGTGGTAAGACTCGCTGACTTGGTTGACAGATGTCATCGTATCCCAATTGCGTAGATCGATGTTCATGATGTTGATCACTGGATTGTCTGGTCCAGATTCGATTGTTTACAGACCGCCGCCATATAGCTGGAATATTGCTGAATGCGGCGTTAAAACAACCAACCAATTGATACAGGTGAATCAGTCGTTATAATGAGATGGGCACGGTCCACACAAGGCGCCACAGTTCGCCTTACAGAGTTGCGTCCCTTGGGCACTCCAGAAAGCTATGATCGTGGGTTCGAATCCGTTTCTGGGTTTGTCATCTTGTGGGTTTTCTGAAAGAGGTAAAAGTCACCTTGGGCTTCGTCCCACACTAAGCTGGCATGAGGTGATATGAGTTGGAACACTGTTCGAAGCAGAGTTAAGCACAACTGACTCACTTACTCACCCCTTAAGGCAGTGGCGCGATACAGAAATTTTCAAAAGATATCTTTCGGCATATATACTCTCCACAGCATTCCAGAAATGTCTACAATTATCAACTTAATTCCAGGTACACAAGACTGCGCCAAATCATTAACGCTTCCTTCATTTAACATGAGACTTCCGGAACATACCAACTATGTTGGTTTATAACTGAACGTGTAATTAACTGTTAGTCAATCAAGGGTTATTTATAAATATGTTATAAAGAACATATTATGGTAAAACATTGTCTTTTGACAGCAAACTGTTGATATGAAAATAGTTTATTATGATCATGTTTTAAATCAAATGAGATTATTTTTCCAACTATACTTACATGCAATAAAACATGCCTTCGTTGTCAGTTACCTCGAATGCATACACGACGAAGTGTTTTGTTTTAAAACTAACTGTTCAAAATAAGTACTTCCTGGCAGAAATACATCGTTCCATTAGGAGGTATTTACACTTGGCCTGTCGTGCATATGCACAAAGCATGGGAGTTTAGGTCTTTGTTAAACCAGGACAGATTCGAATGAAGTCCTCTTACTTACTCAATGTCTGACTTGGCTGCAATGGGAACATTTTAGGTTTCACCTAAGTGAGTATGGTTTTACGCGCTTTTAGTTATATTCCAGCAATATCACATCAGAAATTGCCTTCACACATTGTACCCATGTGGGGAATCGAACCCGGGTCTTCGGCGTGACGAGTGAACACTTTAACCACAAGACTACCCCGCCACACCCTCGTCGATAGGAAAAAAGTGAGAAAATTTATATAAACAATATAGACCTATTTCTAAAAATATTATTAGCAATGTGATAAATAGCATTTAATAGCAATATAAAACAATTAATACACGTCTAAAGTCACGCTGTACTTTCATCAATGAAACCCGTACCACAAAGTGACCACGCGTAGCACATCTACAGTCGTAAGTCGTAAGTATGGGAGTTGCGACAGCCAAGTCGATACTACGCATTTGAAGTTTCAATGTATTTTCACCTCTTTCAAATGTATTCTTTAATATTTAATATATACAATATTTTCAGCTTGTAAATGCTGGACAGTAATTGGGAGTAACATTAACATTCTTTTCTTCAGAATTCCTGTCATGTTTTGCTTGAATGCTTAACTGATTTTAATTTAAATCCCCTTGCTACTTCACATAGATTAGGAAATATGTTTATCACACTCGAAACAATAGTGCGAATATTTTTAAAAGTCAACTGCAGCCTTTCGAAAGCACATCAAAATGATATGCACAAAATTAACTTGTCTTTTACATGACGTATGACCTGAGTATTGTATACGCCCCTGCGGCGAGTACAGAGAGTTCAGGATCCTTCCCCAAGCACGTATGTAGCGACCAGAACTGGGATACGACCAGAACTGGGATAAACAGTCCACAATTTCGTAAAACCCTATTTACTGCAGTACTGCTCCCGGTTAACTCTAAAACTTAAGGCGAACTATGCGCGGAATATGATTTAGTTAATGTTTTTGTGAGGAGACACTGAAAATTATCAGTTACATATTTCCATATTCCTCTGCAAATATGTAGCTCACATTTAATTTTCAATATAGGTTGGAAGAACCTTAAGGGGTTTCTAATTATTTTTTTGTACTCGTCAGTTATTCAATCGTTTATATCGTGTGGCAATTCCCACTCAAGCAAACCTCCCATGGTGTACGACGTTTCATTTTCATTAACTGTGTTGTTTTATAATGCAAGCATCATGTAATTTACATAGCGTAATAAATATCCTATCATCGGCCACGTTAATGGAAATAGTTCAAACACCCCATTGTGTTCTTTCTGAGAGAGAGAGAGAGAGAGAGAGAGAGAGAGAGAGAGAGAGAGAGAGAGAGAGAGAGAGAGAGAGAGAGAGAGAGAGAGAGAGAGAGAGAGAGAGAGAGAGAGAGAGAGAGAGAGAGAGAGAGATTTTACTTGACAAAATTTTAAAACGGTGCTTAAACATTATGGGAATAATGAGGGCCGGGGAGGGCGGTCATTGATTTTGTACTTTACATGCTGCATGGGGGGTGTCACATACTTTGTACATAAATTGTAAGGGGAGTGGGTCATTCACGTTGCACATGCTTCTCCATAAAGATCAGCATCACACCCAATCAGTTATGAACTATCCCGTAGATAAAAGTGTTGAAAACAAAATATTGTAATATCATTCAGGCTGAATGATGTGTCGGATATATAACTTCCATCACAGAGAAGGAAAGGAGGGAAGGGCGTATATCGGATATATTAATAGAAGAGGCCAAACCTGTTCCACGTCCATAAGTAATCTCTACTAAAAGCAGAGTCGAATGTACAATTCTGACTATATCATGAGCATGTATTTGTTTCAGCAGTATTACAGGTGTGCGATGTTGTTGGTAAACAGTCATTGATTGTCATCATACGACATCACACAGAATGAAAGTCGGCAAGGGTATATCGGATATATAACTTACGCCTCACAGAATGAAAGTCGGGAAGGGTATATCGGATATATAACTTACACCTCACAGAATAAAAGGCGGGAAGGGTATATCGGATATATAACTTACACCACACAGAATGAAAGGCGGGAAGGGTATATCGGATACATAACTAACACCTCGCAGAATGAAAGTCGGGAAGGGTATATATCGGATATATAACTTACACCTCACAGAATGAAAGTCAGGAAGGGTATATCGGATATATAACTTACACCTCGCAGAACGAAAGGCGGGAAAGGTTTATCGGATATATAACTTACACCACACAGAATGAAAAGGGGAAGGGTCTATCGGATATATAACTTACACCTCACAGAATGAAAGGTGGGAAGGGTCTATCGGATATATAACTTACACCTCACAGAATGAAAAACGGGAAGGGTCTATCGGACATATAACTTACACCTCACAGAATGAAAGGCGGGAAGGGTATATCGGATATATAACTAACACCTCACAGAATGAAAGGCGGGAAGGGTATATCGGATACATAACTAACACCTCGCAGAATGAAAGTCGGGAAGGGTATATATCGGATATATAATTTACACCTCACAGAATGAAAGTCAGGAAGGGTATATCGGATATATAACTTACACCTCGCAGAACGAAAGGCGGGAAAGGTTTATCGGATATATAACTTACACCACACAGAATGAAAAGGGGGAAGGGTCTATCGGATATATAACTTACACATCACAGAATGAAAGTCGGGAAGGGTATATCGGATATATAACTTACACCATACAGAATGAAAGGCGGGAAGGGTATATCGGATACATAACTAACACCTCACAGAATGAAAGTCGGGAAGGGTATATATCGGATATATAACTTACACCTAACAGAATGAAAGTCAGGAAGGGTATATCGGATATATAACTTACACCTCGCAGAACGAAAGGCAGGAAAAGGTTTATCGGATATATAACTTACACCACACAGAATGAAAAGCGGGAAGGGTATATCGGATATATAACTTACACCTCACAGAATGAAAGTCGGGAAGGGTATATCGGATATATAACTTACACCATACAGAATGAAAGGCGGTAAGGGTATATCGGATACATAACTAACACCTCACAGAAGGAAAGTCGGGAAGGGTTTATATCGGATATATAACTTACACCTCACAGAATCAAAGTCGGGAATGGTATATCGGATATATAACTTACATCTCACAGAATAAAGACGGGAAGGGTATATCGGATATATAACTTACACCTCACAGAATAAAAGGCGGGAAGGGTATATCGGATACATAACTAACACATCACAGAATGAAAGTCGGGAAGGGTATATCGGATATATAACTTACACCTCACAGAATGAAAGGCGGGAATGGTATATCGGATATATAACTTACATCTCACAGAATGAAAGACTGGAAGGGTATATCGGATATATAACTTACACCTCACAGAATGAAAGACAGGGAATGGTATATCGGATATATAACTTACATCT